CCTGGGTAGCTCAGCGATTTGGCACCTGCCTTCGGCCTAGGGCGTGATCCTGGAGTCCCAAGATCGAGTCCCACATCGGGCTCCCTGCATGGAGCCTGCTTCTCCCTCTGCCTGTTGTCTGTCTGTCTGTCTGTCTGTCTCTCTCTCTCTCTCTCTCTCTCTGTCTCTCATGAATAAATAAATAAAATCTTTTTAAAAAGGGGGGGAGGCAGAGGGGTGGGGGGAGGACTGCTAAGCAAAAATTCCCAGACTCTCCAGACCTCTAAGTTCTTAGTTCCCTCACCTGCCATTTGGGGGTAGCTTGGTAGGGCTCAAAACCGCTAAGTCCTGGCACACCACAGGACCAGGTCAGGGCCCTCGCAGGTCCTCCAGCTACAAAACTCTAATCAGCTTAGTCTGACTATGGGATCCCCCAAACTGAGGAGGCCCTCAATATCACTAACTTAGTGAGAACTTGGCTTCACAAGTTCCATAGTTCTGACAAATTAGCCCAAAGTTCCTGGACATTTGCATCAATGAAATTGTAACACTTTTTTAGACCAAAGTTGCCAACTTATTTTACCAGTGAGCAAGAATCAAAAACAAAACAAAACAAAAACAAAAACAAAAACCACCATTATTTCCAAAAAAGTGCTTTACTGGCAAAAAACAAACATTAAAAAAACAATTTCAGAATAAAAAAGTCTTTGCCAAAAAATGGTATTGAGCAACTCAGCCCACTAAAAAAACAAAAAATATTTGAACATTCAGCAAATGAATGCATAAAAACACAGGAGCATTTCTCTTACCAAATGTTGCCTGGGGCTCCTCAGGGCTCCCAGGGCCACAGGACACCACTGGCTCTGTCACAGGCCATTACCAAAGACTGGCTCCAGATGCACAAGCAGGGGACTGCTGCCTGATGTGGCGGCAGTGCACAGTGGCAGGGGCCAGGCTGCAGACAGCACCTCCTCCTCACGTGGACCCAGTGACCCCTGCCCCCATGAGACTGACCCTACAACTCTGTGGAACCTCAAGTCCTCCAGGAGACCTTCATGGTCAATAGTAAGTGTTGCTAAGAACGTGAAATGAGGGACTCCTGGGTGGCTCAGCGGTTGAGTGCCTGCCTTCAGCTCGGGTCATGATCCCGGAGTCCCACAGATCGAGTCCCACATCTCCCTCTGCCTATGTCTCTGCCTCTCTCATGAATAAATATTAAAAAAAAAAAAAAAAGTGAAATGAAGTGAAGTAAGACTTCTTATAGGAAAACTGTAAAAGCCACATCATGGCAGACTGAAGCCAAAATCTGCAAATGGGTCCCCAAAATCAGAGACCATGACACACCCAATCTTTCTCTTTACCTGGAGAGCCCTCCACACACAAGGCACTCACCTGGACTACTTGCAACTGGAAAAGGAACTGTCAAGGGCACACAGGTTCCACCCGAGACCCCTTCACGCTACACGGCACTCACCTGCATACTCTGTTGGTACTGCATCTGCAGAGAACCTTGGGCAGGGGTGGAAGCATCCAGTCCAGATCCTGCCTCCACCCGCTGGGAAATGAAGTTGTTCAGAGACCTCAGGGTGGACAGCACAGTAGTGTTTTCCATCAGGTCATCCATGGCCACTTTGCTTCTGGAGGAAAACAGGGAGGGGTGACGGTGAGCCTTTGCAGGCACCATTAGCTCTACCAGAGGTCTAGGCAGGGGCACTTCTGGGTGGCCCCACTCTCCCAATGCTCCCTCAGAATCCTGACAATACTCCAGTGTCACAGCCACATTTTCGAAGTTAATTGGCAGTGTGGACTCATCTGGAAAGTACGGTCACGAGGGTCACTTTGCACAGTTGTTGTGAGGATGACAGCATCCATCATAAGTCGGATGGGGGGTGCCTGGTGCCATAGTTCATCACTCTGCCTATAACATCACACAGGACATCTCAGGCCACACAACAGGAGACGAGGTCTTTCTGCACATATTTCACACACCATGAAAGCGAGGCTTCAGGGATCCCTGGGTGGCGCAGTGGTTTAGCACCGGTCTTTGGCCCAGGGCGTGATCCTGGAGACCCGGGACCGAATCCCACGTCGGGCTCCCGGTGCATGGAGCCTGCTTCTCCCTCTGCCTGTGTCTCTGCCTCTCTCTCTCTCTCTCTCTGTGACTGTCATAAATAAATAAAATAAAAAAAGAAAGCGAGGCTTCAGAAAGTTACAAAACAGGCCAGAAGCCAGATCTGTGTGGCTCTAAAGTCCGGTGTGCTCCATAAGCCAGGGCACGGAGGGCAGAGCACAAGCACCCCCCAGGCGTTGGTTAGGCATCTTCCTTCTGCTCAGGTCTTGATCCCAGGGTTCTGGAATGGAGTCTTGCAGGGTGGGCTCCCTCCTCAGCGGGGAGTCTGCTTCTCCCTCTGCCCCTACCTGCCTTGTCCTCTCTCTCTTGCTCTCTAATAAATAATTAAAATATTAAAAAAAAAGAAAAGAAAAGAAAACCAACTCCAAACCTGCATCCCCAAACCTGTGCTGACGGTGGCCTCACACCTGCCAACCAGTGGGTAGGGAGCACCCCTTAGGTAAAAGGCCAGCTCACGCGGACTTCCCTGAGCGTTAGATCGAAAACACCTCTCCACGTTCCCCCCAGAGGAGGAAAGAAAGCAAGGAATCTTAGTTGACTCGGAATTTCCGTTTGGGGAGAACCTTGGCCCTATGCACACAGAGCCCTCCTCTGTGGGCCGTGTTTCCACCCCAGACAACACAGCTGTCCTCTCGACCTCTCAATCACACTGCATGTGGAAACACGGAGTAGAAGGCGGAACAGGACAAGCAAGCACAGAGTGCTGAGGGCCGTGGCAGATGCAGGCCCGAGCTGCACTGGACAGCAGAGGTCCACTCTAGGAAGCAAACCCTTCCGAACGGGGCCGTACTCTCCGACCAGTGATGGGAAGCCAAGCTGGGAAGTCCTGGTCCGGAGAGGCGCCCCTGTAAGAGCTGATGCGTGCAATCCCCCGGAACGAAGAGCGCACACGCTTTCAACCTTTCAACGGCCTGGAACTAAGGCGCTGCACTGGGGATGCGCTCAGGCGGTACTCAAACTCCGTCCTCTTTACCCAAGAGACTCCAATCCTCAACCCAACCGCGGAAACCCAAGCGCTGCAAATCACAACCCCTGGGCTGCCCTTCCTGGCCTGGGCGCTACTCGGGGCGGGGGGGCCCTGCCGCCCCGCTGCAAACCCCGGCTCCCAGGTGGCTCTGCCAGACCCCAGGCGCCCGGTGGGGTCTGCCCGGTGGGGTCTGCCCGGTCCGGCCCCCGGCCCCGGCCCCGGCCCCGGCCCCGGCCCCGCTCTGACCCCGCTCCGACCCCGGCCCCGCTCTGACCCCGCTCGGACCTCGACCCCGGCCCCGCCCTGACCCCGCCCTGACCCCGCTCCGACCCCCGCTCCGACCCCCGCTCCGACCCCGGCCCCGCTCCCCGTCCCCAGGGAAGCTGACTGGAACCCCGGCTCCGCTCCGACCCCGCTCCGCACCGCCGCCGCCGAAGCCGGCTCGAACTCCGGTCTGGATCCGAGGGACCGAGCGCGGCGGGGAGAGACCAGCGGGCAGAGGGCCGGGCCCGCCTCGGATATCCGCCCACCGGGGACCCCGGCGCCCGGGCACTCACCTCGGCCCCAACCCCGGCAGCTCTCCGCCGCTGCCGCTCAGATCTCCCTCCTCTGCGTCCGAGCCCGCGTATCGCGAGACGTGCCGCCGCGCTCTCGCGAGACCTGCGCAGCCGGCCGTGAAGTCCCGGGTGCGTGCACCGCCCGCGTCCTGCAGCTCCGCGGGCGCCCCAGAGCCGCCCGCCCCGGGAGGCCGTACTCGGGCTCTAGCAGAGGCCGGCCCGCAGGTCTGTGGGGGGGCCCGCCTCCCGCAGCGGGACGGACCTCCACTGGGGCAGTAGCCTCGCGCTGTATTGTGCGGAGTCGCACCGCCCAACGGTGGCCTCTAAGGGCCAAACTTTCCTGTTCTTGACGACTCTCAAAATTCTACTACAGTGTTAGCTTGAATTAGTGGGTCTTTACTTTCCTCGGGATCACTGGAAAAGCAAAATACTCGGCTATCCTCCCAGGACCCCGTAAGCTCACACAGCCGGAGACCCTCATCCAGTAACAGGGCTCTCACTCCCTTCTGAACCTCCTCCTCCCTGAACCCTCGCGCCCCGACTGAGCAGTCGGTCTGGAGGGTCTGCACTGTGCCCCGAAGGTTTGCACACACTGCCCCCCACTCAGGGTCTGGAGGGTCTGCACACACCATCCACCCAGCCTGGAGGGTCTGCACATACACCCGCACCCGGAGTCTGGAGGGCCTGCATATACGCACACCCAAGGGTCTGGAGGGCCTGCACACACCACCCACCCAGTCTGGAGGGTCTGCACATACACCCACACCCAGGGTCTAAAGGGCCTGCATCCCCCCCACACCCTCCCAGGGTTTGGAGGGTCTGCACACACCACCCACCCACAGACTGAAGGATCTGCACATACCCACCCCCAGGATCGGGAGGGCCTGCACAACTCTCCCCACCCAGGGTCCAGAGGGTCTGCACGCACACGCACACACGCATACACACACTCACACATACACAAGGTCTAGAGGGCCTGCACATCTCCACACACCCAGGGTCTGGAGGGTCTGCACAGCTCCACCCACCCAGGGTCTGGAGGGCCAGCACTGTCCCACAAGGCCTGAAATAGGATGGGGACGGGGGTGCACTGGGGATAGGACAGAGGAGTCTCCAACATAAATGACTACAACCAAAAGGAAAAGGAGAAAATGCTAAATCTGGCCTCCAGCCCAGTTCAGAGCACTGGACGGAGCCCTCAGGCCCTGGTGGAGATTATGGGTATCTGTCTAGGCTCTCTCCCAGGCCTATCCTTGGAACTTAATCAGCGATACGATCAATACACTCTTCTTGAGGGATGAGCACACCTCCAGGAAATGGCTTTGAAGAAACCGGATTTTATGAAAACAAACTTAAAAGCATGGAAATCTCTTAAAATCATATACTCTACATTGTTTTGTAACACTGCATTGAGTTCCTGGAAGAGAGTAAAAGGAAATAAACGGACACACTGTATGGCTGCTTGCTCTGGCCGCTGCCAGTCTTGGGAGCTCCAAAGATTACAGCAACGTGTTTCCAGCCACTATAGAAAGTACACTAACCCCCTGATAATTCATATCAAATTGCCTTCCCTAATTGAGAGGGACTCCTGCTGCTTGAGGAAAGAATTAATCCACATCATCCACCAGAGAGGTGGAAATGAATTCCAAGTTGAAAGTTCAGATTTTCATATGCTACACCATATGAGCAAAACGACGAGAAGCCTGGGTGTTGCGGTCCAGTCGGTGGCGGGGCAGCAAGGGTGGAGACCTGACAGTTGCAAGGTTATACCAAGGCCATGTGTGCCACAGGCTCCTTCCCACCATCTTCTCAGCTTTGCCTCTCCGCCTACGTCTCCTGAGGTCCTCTTCACTAATCATGTTCTAGAAACTGTTTCTGATCATACATCATGGCCAGCAAATATGGTTCTGTTGTATCTTTGTGCTTAAAACAAAGGCCCCCCACTTGTCCTGCCTGCTGCATCCTGGATCAAGACCACTCCACCCCACCCCTAGTCATACTTCAAGCAAGAGCTCAGACGACCCTGGAGTGAACAAGCTGGGAAATAGCAGAACATCTCAGGCCTCTGCACACCCCATCCCTCTTTGGTATTGTGTGGCCAAGAGGTACACCTCTGACGACTCCTTTCTGCTGGCTCTGGGTTTTATGGTCCTGGTACCCTGGAACTGCCCTGTCAGTCTCTTCTGTAATGCAAGGCTTTGACTTCCAGCCCATGTTTTGCAGAGGAACGTGCCACCGGGGTGCAGGACAACTGCAGCCAGGTCCAGAAGGGACAAGCACAGGCGAATGAGCCTGTCATGATCCAGGCTGTGGATCCCCGTGGCGTTGGGTGCCATGTCACTCAGAATCACGTCTGCTCTCCCACCAGGAAGCAGTTCCTGGATTCTCTGCAGAGTTCCCGGGTCAGTCACATCAGCAGGGCACAGGAAAGTTGCTCCTTCCAGGGGGAATATGTGAAGAAGATCTACCCCAAGCACAAAGCCAACAGGAGTGCCAGGATCTAAAAAACACAGTTTGTATGTTATTTATTTACACCCTGAATCCCCTTAGAAATACAAATGGAAAAACAGAAATAAAAAGTCAGGACACAGGAAAAGAACAAACATGCAAAGCTATGGATGAGAGGGCTCTCCCCAGCAATATCTGTCCTGTACAAACACATGGCAGGAGTGGCAGTCCTCATTCCTCGTGGGAGGAATCCCAGGCTCAGAGCTCAAGCAACCCGGGGCAGGCTCAAGACTCCAACTCTGGCTTCATGTCACTTCCCGAGGCTTGCCCTTTTGAGAGGGGGCTTATCTCTGACCTTGATACACTAGCACGTAAAGTACCTCTGGATTAAATCAACACATCCATCTTGCAGCTTCATCCAATTTCTTTCAATACAGAAACTGCTAAGAAACAAGTCAAGAAATGGGGAACATAGACAGGTGGAAGACAAGGTGTAGAATCTGACCCCTTGGCTGGGTTTGAGTGGCACCAGCTGTGCAATAAAGAAGCCAGGGTTTCACCTGGCTCCCAAGAGGCCCTCCTGCCTGCAGGACAGCTGCCCCCAGATGTGCAGCTCCCCTCGTGGCCCTGGTGTCCCCATCTGCGTCCCTCCCCCACATGGAGGAGGGCCCCTACTCTGCCAACACACGCGGGAGGACAAGGCTGCAGAGACCTGCTAGTTCAGTCTGCTCAGCAAACAAACTGTTCCATGGTGGAGTAACGCATATTCTACTTCTAACTAAATATCAGAAGTCCAGGCATTTTGCAGAGCATGTTTTTCAAAGGAGAAAACTGCATTTTCATCCTGGAAAGGAGAAAATCCCACATCTCATTTTATACACTGGCTTTTTTTCCTTCAATATCCCAAATATTATAACCTCGGGCAGGGTCCGCTGGAGGCAAATACCTTTGGGTACATTTTTGCCACTTCTGGGAGGAAAAAAAACTCAGTCATCTTATCCAAATTCTTTGCTTCTTCCACTTCCTCCTTCTGAAGAACAATTACAATGCCAGGAAGCATTAAAATCACTCATTAGGTCTGTAGACAGGCTCAGTGATAGGAAAAGGAGCTGGAGTCTCTGACACAAATTCCTTCACTTAGGCAGTATTTGTTGAGCTAAAAACATTTTTTCCGCCTGTTCTAGAGTTCCTGGAGGTATCCCACCCATAATAACAAGGCTGATTCTTAAGTCATGAACCCAGGGAGCAGCAGTCCCCAGTCTGCGCTTTCAGCAGGTCAGCAAGCTCCTTTGAACCTCATTTTTCACTAGGACTACTGCCACAGCGTCCTCCCCCTAGGTGTCAGAGAGAGGTCCTCGTGAATCGGCATATTTCATATAGTGCCAGGGACTGTGGTACCCTCAGATTTTACAGCATCAGAGAAGGGGGAGAGATGCTCATCACAGCGTGGCAGACCCTAGCAATAGACCTGAGAGCAACACTGGTGCCCATGAGAAGGAGACCAGCTGTACAGCACAGGACAGCTGCCATCTGGAGTTCTGCACAAGCATTTAAAAGGACAATATAGGTTTCTAAATTGAGGGTACTGGTGACCCTGTTGATTAATTGGGGGAACCATCTTCATATAGAAAACCTTTGACAAGATCCTAAAATATAAGATGGCAAAAGCTGAGTCCCTCAGATTGAACAAGAGGGGAGAAGCCAGAGCCCCAGCACGGGTGCTCCGGGAAGCAGACCTAGCGGGGCCTTGGGAAGACCAGAGCTTCAAGGACCAGGAGCCAGAAACCTCGGATTGGTACAGATCTGCTGTCATGGACAGATGTCCATATATTAGTAAGTGAAAAAGAAAACACAGCTCTGTGAAGGCTCCAAAGCAGCAGGAAGAATGTAGATGTAGAATACTATCTTTAAAAAAAAAAAAAAAACACATATACTTATGCAAGAATTCTCGAAGGGCACATGGCGACACACTGACGTACATATGGGCATGGTACAATCTGAGGTACTCTAAATCTATGCCTTTCTACTGTGGCTGCCATTTTGAAAACATCAATGTCCTACTTTCAGCCTTCCTACCACTAAACAAGCAACTCAGAAGGAGGTGTCCTCACCAAGTGAATCTCCTGGTAGAGGGCAGCTGGCTTGCACCTCCAGACCCAAGGTGGTCAGAGGCCCTACCTGTGCCTGCAGCGTTAACCCTCTGCACAGCCACCTGGCTCCACGCCCCGGGGGCCGCCCCGCAGTCTAACACTCGGAGACCGGGCCGCAGGATCCGGTGCCTCTCATCCATCTCCAGGAGCTTGAAGGCACTTCGGCACCGATAACTCTCCACTTTCGATGCCTTCACATATGGGTCCCTCAAATGCCGCGTCAGCCACAGGTGTTCAGCACCGGTCCGACCCTTGTAGTAACTCCCAGCTGTGTGAAACCTCTGACACTGCAGGGATGCATGTAGCAGCTTCAAAGACCTGAGGGAGCAAACAGGAGCATACAGGCGGGCATCACACACATAAGTAGGCTCCCTGGTCCAGCCCATGTATTTTCAGAGACAGCGCCCAGAGACTGGAGCGGGGAGGAGACTTGGCAAGGCTACCCAGCCAGAAAGCAGGTGGAATGGGGTGAACCGAGTCCTTCCCCAAACTCGTGTGCTAATGTCCTAACCCCAGGTATCTCAAAATAGGACTGGTAATATTAGGTAATTCAGGGGCTCAGTTGGTAAAGCATCTGCCTTTACTCGGGGCATGATCTCAGGGTCTTGGGATCGAGCCCCCTGTCAAGCTCCCCGTTCAGCAGGGAGTCTGGTTCTCCCTTTCCCTCAACCGGTTCCTCCCCCTTCTCGTGCTGGCTCAAGATCTCACTCAAATGAATAAAAAAAATTTTTTTTAAATAAATTAAGATAGAGAAGTAATTCATTTAAAATGAGGCTATATGGGTGGGCCCAAATCTAGTATGACTGGTATCTTCCTAAGAGAAAGTTAGGACACAGGGACACAGGACCAACCACAGGAGGGGGGGCGGGGAAGCCACAGGGAGAAGCTAGCCATCTACAGGCCAAGGAGAGGGGCCTCGGGAGACACCAGTCCTGCCCAGACGTTGGCCTGGGGCTGCAGCCCCCTGCTGTGTGAGGGCAGTGAGACAGAAGTTTGTGTTGTTTCAGCCGCCTGGCCTGGGGGCTTTCTCCTGGGGACTTTCAAGCACAGCAGGCATTGCTTCCACTCAGCTTATGAAAGTTTCCTTCAGAAGTAAGACTCAGACATCACTGATGATCACTTTGCTTGTGTCAACCAAGGTTTTTCAGTACCGGTTAATAGTACCATTGATACAAAGATAATATTCCTGCTCACCCACTAACTTCTCCTTGGGCTCTGGGGGACTGCAAGAGAACCCCCGCAGGGACAGACCCTTGCTGTACTTAGCTCCATGGCTGCACAGGCCAACACAGGGCCTTACCAGTCACATTGCCTCATACAACTGAACTCAACCTGTGTGAGCAGGTGAAGGACAATTTCCAAGTATCTTTGGTAAAGTGCCCTGGTGCCACAGCCTTCAGGCCTGCAGTGCCCTTTGCAAGCTTCTCCTCTACCTGCAGCACCCCTCATCTGCCCCCTCTGCTGTCTGCAGCCCTCACCTGCAGTGCCCCCTCCACCTGCAGCACCTCTTCGCCTGCCCTCTCTGCTCTCCATACCTCCTCACCTGCAGGCCCCCTCACCTGTCTCCTCCACTCTCCACAGCCCTCCACCTCCAGGCCCCCTCACCTGTCTGCTCCACTCTCCACAGCCCTCCACCTTCAGATCCCCTCACCTGTCCCCTCCACTCTCCGCAGCCCTCCACCTCCAGGCCCCTCACCTGTCCCCTCCACTCTCCGCAGCCCTCCACCTCCAGGCCCCTCACCTGTCCCCTCCACTCTCCGCAGCCCTCCACCTCCAGGCCCCCTCACCTGTCCCCTCCACTCTCCACAGCCCTCCACCTCCAGGCCCCCTCACCTGTCCCCTCCGCTCACCGCAGCCCCTCACCTGCAGGCCCCCTCACCTGTCTCCTCCACTCTCCGCAGCCCTCCACCTCCAGGCCCCCTCACCTGTCTCCTCTGCTCTCTTCATCCCCCCACCTGCAGGCCCCCTCACCTGTCCCCTCCACTCTCCGCAGCTCCTCACCTGCAGCTCCTCACCTGCATCTCCCTCCTCCGCTCACCGCAGCCCCTCACCTCCAGGCCCCCTTACCTGTCTCCTCCGCTCTCTGCACCCCCCCCACCTGCAGGCCCCTCACCTGCCCCCTCCGCTCTCCGCAGCCCCTCACCTGCAGGCCCCTCACCTGCCCCCTCCGCTCTCCGCAGCCCCTCACCTGCAGCTCCTCCTCACCTGCAGGCCCGCTCACCGCAGCCCCTCACCTCCAGGCCCCCTCACCTGTCCCCTCCGCTCTCTGCACCCCCCCACCTGCAGGCCCCCTCACCTGCCCCCTCCGCCCGCCCGCGCTCCTCGGAAGCGGCCCCGACTACCGGCTTCGTGTAGGAAGTCTTCCCCTAGGCACTGCGCCCGGGAAGCCCGCGTCCGCGCCCCTGTTACGCGGAGGGAAGCTGGGACGCCCCGGGCCGTCCTCCCCCCGCACGCTTGCAGGAGGCGCCCCGTGAGTCCCGACTAGCGCTCCGGCGCGTCCGCCTCTAGGCCCGCAGCCCCACTCACCGAGCCATGCAGGCCGACTCCCTCCAGTCGCTGCGCCGGAAGTGCCGGCCTCGCTTCCGGCCGAGGCCACGCCCCCGGAAGCGGCGCCCGGGATCCGAAAGCGCGCGCGGAGCCGGGTGGTGCGGGGCTAGGACGCGGGAGTCTGGCGCTGAGCCCCAGCCGGGTGAGGACGGGCCTGGGGACCTAGGGACCCGGGAAGGGAGAGGGGGAAGGGAGTTCCAAGGACAGGGGGACCTGGGGGGGAGGGGGAGAGAGGCTGGGGGAGGGGGAAAGGGAGTTCCAAGGACAGGGGGACCTGGGGGGAGGGGAGAGAGGCTGGGGGAGGGGGAGAGAGGCTGGGGGAGGGGGAAAGGGAGTTCCAAGGACTGGGGGACCTGGGGGGAGGGGAGAGAGGCTGGGGGAGGGGGAAAGGGAGTTCCAAGGACAGGGGGACCTGGGGGGGAGGGGAGAGAGGCTGGGGGAGGGGGAAAGGGAGTTCCAAGGACTGGGGGACCTGGGGGGGAGGGGAGAGAGGCTGAGGGAGGGGGAAAGGGAGTTTCAAGGACAGGGGGACGGGGGCGAGGAGGGGAGAGAGGCTGGGGGAGGGGAAAAGGGAGTTCCAAGGACAGGGGGACCTGGGGGGGGAGGCTGGGGGGAGGGGAGAGAGGAGGGGAGCTGCGGGAGCAGGAAGAGAGGGGGACAGGGGTGCCAAGTGAACAGCGCTCAGAGGAGGTGATGGATCCAGGACCCCCGGGGTCTGGTGGCCTGGGGGCTTGATGTCCAAGCCCCTGCAGTGTGTAAGAGGCCTGGTGCTCGTTGGAGAGGGGGTATTGTCTCTTAGTACCCTGGTAAGGGACCTGAGTGTAGGGCCCTAACAGGTAGGGCTACCCAGCCCAAGGCTGCCTCCCAGCCCCTGACATTAGCTGGGCTCTCTGAGGACCTCAGCCACTTGCTCCAGCATCGGTAGGCCATCTGAACCAAACAGCCATTGGACCCAAATGGGGACACCGGCTCTGCCATTTGATCTTGGGTCCAGTTCAACCCTGTTCCACCTCTCTGAGCTTCAGCCTTTTCATCTGAAAATGGAGGCAGCAAGTCTTTGCTCACAGAGTTGTTAGGTCTGTTCAATGGAATACTTTTTGAGGAGCATACAGTGAGTACTTCCTAAATGATAGCTGACGTTCCCAGTGTCCTCCCTTGGCCTATACAGTTCACTCAGGAAGCCAGGGCTTCAGGCGGGAACCTGTCAGCATCATGACAAAGTAGGCAGCATCCAGGCTCAACCCCAGAGACCTACCCTCAATACCAGGTCCCTTTTCTCAGACTCCAGAACTTCCCAGAAGGATCTCTGCTCGTGCTTCTGCATCTCCTCCAGGGTGGTCCCAAGGATAGAAGACATGTGTTTAATGGGCCCCAGGCTGTAATAGGGCTGAATGAACAGGGGAATTGGTCCTGGTCCTCCACGATGTCTCCAGCAGCAGCCCAGATATCACCCTTGGAATTTGTCTTTGGACCCTGAACACCCATTCAAGCAGGAGGGGCCCTTGTGGCTCCAGGGCCAGATTCTGGAGCAGCAAGGGTAATGAACAGATTATGAACTGTCACAGGGAGGGAGCCAGCCATGCTGGGTGGGCTCTCTGCCATCAGGAGCAGACTCCTCGGGACTCTAGGTCTGCTTACTGCTGGGGTGCAGGAGGGGGAAGGGAGATCCCAATAAGCCAGAAGACCCCACTGATGAAAAGGCCACGGCCAGAAGCCTGACCCAAGAACCACTGGCTAAAATGCATGGTTATGTTGGTGCCTGGGGTGGACTGCCCTCCTGCTTCTGGGTACAGGCTAGAAACCGGAGCAGGAACAGCCCTGTGCTGAGGGGGGGCGGAGGGGGGGGGCAAGGGTACTATGGCATCTCCTGCCAGGGGCCTGGGTACTGGCGCCACAGCATTTGGAGCACCAAGCCTCCTCCTAGCCCAGAAGCTCACTTGGTCAGTGAGGCAAGCCATGTGTGGCTGGGCTGGGAGATTGCCTTCCCTGCCTTTCCTGCCCCTTCCCATTCCACTGGGCCCCTGGCCTCCATCCACACCCCGTCTGCATGCAAGTCAAACTGACCGAGCCCTCTTGCCTTCCTCAAGGGGCCCCCGGGGACCATGGGCACCTCCAGGCTCTACACCTTGGTACTAGTGCTGCAGCCTGAGCGAGTTCTCCTGGGCATGAAGAAGCGAGGCTTTGGGGCCGGCCGGTGGAATGGCTTCGGGGGCAAAGTTCAAGAAGGAGAGACCATCGAGGACGGGGCCAAAAGGTAAGGGAAGGGTAGGCCAGACTGCACAACCAGCTCCCGAAAGGATACACTGGAACTCATGATGGAGCCCTGGGGCCTCGGTTCCTTCACCTGCAGGATGGAAATAACGGGCACAGCTCCTGCCGCTGCTCCAGGGTGTGGGAAGGCAGTGAGTGCCGAGTGTGTGCTAGCTGTGCTGGGGGCACGGGCAGTGTGTTAATATTTGGGAGGCTGTGCATGTGGCTTCTAGCTAAGGGGCTGGTCAGTCACTGGATTTCTTGGTCTATTCAGGGGAGCCTATGACAAGCGTTTCTGTCTGAGCCTTTTTCTCCCTTAATCCTCAACACTACTGGCTTCCCAGGGGCAGGACACCAAGCCCAGAGAGGTCGAGCAACTTGTCTGAAATCACACAGTTCTGATTTCAAGCCCTTTGCCCTTCTTTCCCCTCATAGGCGTGTTGGATAAAATGAGGATGTGTGTGTAAATGCCACAAGGCACTACACAAACCTTCACCACTATTGATGTTATTCCGAAGAAAGTTGGTAGGCCTAATTAAGGCTGCTTTCCCTGGGGAAGAGAACAGAGCTCCACACGCATATTAATGAGGCTTCTGGAAGGGAAGAAGGCTGCAGGCACTACAGTGGTTCTCAAGTTCGGGTTTTTTTTTTTTTAAATCACAACCCACATAAGAAATGTCTACTGTCTGAGGCAGCAATGCTCTCACTACATGAAGGCGTACACTAACATATTTCCTATTCTGTGTTCCTCCTCCTCTAATCATTAGTCACAATCCACCAAGTTGAGTCATGGTGCACAACTGGGTTGCAGCAGCCCCCCACCCCACCCAGTGTGAAAAGCCAAGGATGTGCCATCCTTGGTGTGCACCTCTCCCTCGTAGACCTGCGACCCCGGAGCTGCTGCCACACTGCTGCGTGTGATCACTGGTTTTGGCAAGTGGCAGACAGTGTGACTGGTCCTGCCCCAGGAGGGCACGGCTTGGGCAGAGCCCAGTCTGCCGAGACTCGGGCATCTGGCCCTGTGAGCTGTGCCCGGGGTGGGACGGGGTGTAGAAGAGGCCTGCCTCTTCTGCCTCCATAGCCTGCCTCTTCATTAGTGATACTTCGAATATACAGCTTTTTATTTACAGGCACCATTTTTACATCCTTTTAAAGAAATCTTTGCCTATTCTAAGCTTAAGAAGGCATCACCCTAAGTTTTCTTCTAGAATGTTCAGGAGCATTAAATCCTCAGTCCATCTAGAATGGAGTTTGGAGTAAGATGCCAGGCACAGCGTCAGGATTCATCTGTCCAGATGTCTGGCTGAATAGCATTTATGGAACTGACTGTATTTCCCACCACCCTGCAGCCCCCTCTGTCATAATCACAGGCCCTCAGAGGCATCCCACGTGCCTCTGAAGCAGCTCAGCACAGCCACCAGATGCCCTGCTGGGCCCTGGGGTCTGCCCTCCAAACACTTGCTTGAGCACAGAGGCCACTAGTGGGGTAGTCTCCTGGCCCACGACTCATCTCTGTCCTGACCTCACCACAGATCCCAGAACACTCATAAAATCGGTGACCTTTTATTGTTGTCAGACTTCGAGCTGTATTATAAAGATGTTTATTATCCTCAGAGGCTCATGATTTTTCACAGTGTGAAGTTCTCATCCAGGGAGCAAGACCTTGGAGGGCACTTGCTCCTGGCAGCCCTGAGCTCCTTTTTAACGCCTGGGTGTCCATACAGACCTATCGTGCCCCTACAGGCAGCATGCTTCCCCCAGGGGACAATAATGTAATGGTTTCCACACTGGGAACAGAGGGCTGGGCCTTACCCTGGGGCCAAGGGTGGAAGTTCAGTCCCATCACCTGGTGAGCCGCGCAGTAGCACACCGGCTCCTACGGTCTGGGGGTCAGCTCTGAGGAGCTCTCTGGGACTCCCATCTTCTCTTCCCATGGCCACTGGGATACTAGCGCCAACACTAGCGCAGTGTTGAAGATGGAGCCACAGGTCAGGACACCCTCTGGCAGAAGAGTATTGTGCCCCTGCCCCTGTGGAGTGTAAGGGAGACGTGAGATGGCACATTCTACTCCATCTTAGGAGCAAGCTGAGATGGGTCCCAGGGCCCCACAGACCACGATGGCTATCTAGGCTTCTGACATGGCGTCAGGGTGGCCTCAGCAAGGAGCCTGGCACATGCTCTATCTACTGCACTGCCCTTGTGCCCTTACAGATCGCAAAGCAGGCCACAGTTCAAGAGCTAGATTAATATAGCATCACCTGCAGGCTTGGGGTGGCCAAATATGCATGAGTGGTCTTCCCTGGGGGATCATGGGAAGCTTGTAGGGGAAGGTTACGGGCACTTGGGGCCCTGAAGTCTCCTCAGAGGTTGGAGCTGTAGGTGGGTGGACAGTCCCCATCTCTCTGGCCAGCATACCTGACACCTCCAGCAAGGCCTCAGAGAACCTCAGGAGGAGTGGGTGAAGCAGAGCCCCAGGACTGCAGGGAGGCCCCCATACCCACCCAGGCACTTGGCCGCTGTCATTCTGTTTAATGCATGACTCATCCTGTTCTCTGCCATCTGGGGAGCTGAGCATCACACATATAACCCGACACTTTCTGTCATCCCCGCTAATTATCCCAGCCTGTGAAGCGAGATTAGTGAGATTTCGTGCACTGCTGTGTATTCGGGGAAGATTAACCAAAGCTAGTCAAAACATTAAATCACTAGGTAAGGTTTTATAAAGTGAGCCCCGCCAGCCTGTCAGAGTGGGGGGAGCCTCTGTAGAGTGCCAGGACACTTAATGGTGGAGCCATCTGCACCCCCCAACTGAAAACACATTCGTGTTTTTAGGTCAAGTCCAATTTTAATTACCCAGTCTATGAGGAAATCCTAGCTTTCCAAACCACTCAGGCCTGGTGTGCAGTGGTCGCCGGCTCACGGTACTCCTCTGTGGGCCATACAGGGAGCTCGGGGTGGGTTCTGAGCTAGGGAAGGCATCTGCTGGGATCAGGCCGCTTAGACTCAACGTGTGTGTGTGTGTGTGTGTGTGTGTGTGTGTGTGTGTGTGTGTGTGTGTGTGTGTGTGTGTGTGTGTGTGTGTTTTATATAGCAAAGTGGTTTCCCTGGCTTCTCATTCCAGGCACAGGAAGCAATTATGCATTGTGTTCCTAACATAACTTGGAGATCAAAGCTAAAAAGAAAAAAACAAAACCATTCTTTACATACAACTATAAATGGTCAGGCATAATTAGAACACTTCCAGAAACAAAAATATAGGGCAGTAGGGAAGTGAGACTGTCTCAGGGAGGGACAGATGGAGCTCCACAGCTGCCACGGCCTGGGGGATCCCCAGGGTCCCTAGAGTCGCCAGCACAGAGCCTCCAGGAAATTCTGGCCCCATGAAGGACAGTGAAGGAGCAAACTGAGCGGCAGACTAGAGGGGTCTGGGGTGCAAGTGCAAAGCTGCTCCTCACAGGGGCCTGGTGACCAGCAAGTCTGCCGCTTTCACCAACCCATGACCCACACCCGGTGGGAAACTGGCCAAGCTCCTTGAGGTGGCAGCCATTGCACCAGCTCCCTGTGTCTTCGGTCCTGTGAAGGGAGGCCCGAAGGAGATGGCCACGAGGGGGGGTGGGTCACAAGGCCTCCATCCAGTGGTGCATCATACCTGTGCTCCGGTGGGGAGAAGTCCCCAGGAAGAGATGATACGGCCAGACGCCCAAAGCGCCTGCCCCCTGCCATCAGCAGCAGGGAAGCTGGCTGGAGGGGTGGGGTGGGGAGGGTGTCTCAGTGGAACAGACTGGAAAGCAAGCTTTCCCACTGGGGAAGAGAACATAGAAACCTGCAGTCTGGTCCTGTGCTCTTGGAGCTCAGGTGTGAGGAAGGGGGATTCTTCAGGTTGGGGCCCCTGCAGCCCGAGCTGCATTCATGGGACTGTGGCCACCCTGTGGGAAGAGCAGGTGCTGCTGCATAGAGTGGGAGGTTCTTCCCATGACCCTTGAGTAGCTGAACTGGGCCAGGCCTGGGCTGCCCTGTGGCCCACAGGCTGTACAACTGGATTGGCCCGTGTACCCTAAGCCAGAACCTCTGAGTGGAATCCGTTTTTAAATGGTCCCCAGATAACTGGCAGTTTTGTCCAAGTCGCTGTGGGGAGCAGGCAGGTGCTCCACCACCCTTCCAGCACCACGCTGTAACTGTCGCCCATTTGGCCCGCAGGGAGCTGCGAGAGGAGAGCGGTCTGACTGTGGACACACTTCACAAGGTGGGCCAGATCATGTTTGAGTTTGTGGGTGAGCCTGAGCTGATGGACGTACACATCTTCTGCACAGACAGCATCCAGGGGACTCCTGTGGAGAGCGATGGTGAGTCTGGGGGGCTGTGCTCCCCACGCCAGTGGCCAGGTCCAGGAGGCAGGCACTGTGCCAGCACCTAGCTCTCAGCCTTGTTCTTCTGCATAGTGACAGTGACCTGGCCACAGGGACTGACCCCAAACATCTGTCCAGTTCCTCACACACCTGCCTGGTAATTCCTTAGGGATGGGTAGTCTAAACCCAGGTGGAATGTCAGTGCTCTCTCCTTTCCATCTGCTACAGAAATGCGCCCTCGGTGGTTTCAGCTGGACCAAATCCCCTTCACTGACATGTGGCCAGATGACAGCTACTGGTTTCCCCTCCTGCTCCAGAAGAAGAAATTCCATGGGTACTTCAGGTTTCAGGGTCCCAACACCATCCTGGACTATACGCTACATGAAGTGGACAAACTATAGAGGCAGTACGGTGCAGGAGACTGGCTGCAGAACCACCGCACTGTCACTTCACACACTCACTGAGCCCCCAAGGCGGGACTGCAGTCGGGGGTGGAGTGGAGGGAGGTGGACGTGAAAATAAAGATCTTTTATCTCTTCCACACTCTTCATGGGGCCCCAGCACAGCCAGCCCACCCCTGTCCTCAGGAAGCCGCCAGGCCCACCTGGGGCAGAGTGGGCCAGAGGGGACAGCTGGAAGGCCAGTTACTGCCCTATGCAGTGCCATGGGCTCTTGGGAGGACCAGCGTGGGCTCAAAGATGTGTCATCCTTGCTCGCCACCCCTCCACTGAGGGGAAACAGGAAAAGTCATGGCCCAGGTCTGAGACCCCGGTGTAACAGGTCAGAGGCTTACCCCAAGGGTCGGGGCAGTCTGGTCCAGATCTCTGACCACCAGGAAAGGGAGAGGCAGAGAACACACAAGTTCCTCAATTTTCATAAACAGGTTTAATCGTTGTTCATGTTTACTGATAAAAAATATTTTGAAATGTAGGCCATTTGTGAACGATTCCAGTTTCCTGGTGTAGTAGTAACTGACCCCCACAACCTTATAAAGTGCTCCACACGTGAAACTGCGTCGGGAAGAGGGGAAGGGCCTCGAGGGCAGACAGCCTGACTTCAGTATGCTGACCCCCGCGCCTGGGTCCACACCACAGGTGACTTCTGCTGTGTGTGCAGGTGACTGTGGGTGAACCTGGGTCCGGTTCCACTCTAGCCTTCCCGCAGTTGGGGAGCAGGGCTCTGTCCCCATGGTGTGAGGACCAGGCAGGCGGTGGCAGACAAGGTGAGGCCCTTCCGCTCCCTGACCTGCAGCTGCGGGCAGCCTGGGCCTCCCTGGACACCACTGAGCAAAAGATCCCGGAGCCTAGGGATCTGGTGGCAGCCCAGGTGCAGGGGCTAGATGGAGGCTTTGTGTGGAACCAAAGGTGGCCTCGTCTCCAGCTGAGAACTTATGGTTCTCCACCCCCAGCAAGTCTCTCCCTGTCTGCTGACCTCCCCGCAGAGCCTAGAGGAGGGAGGGATGGACCAGAACGTGCTCCTCCAGGTAAGCCTCGGGAACATGGCAAGAGCTCCAGGCGAGAGCAGGTCCTGGCTTTCCGCACAGGAACGTGGGGCCGTCAGAAAGTCCTCTTCAGAAAGCACACAAAGTCTCTGCTGACAGGGTCTCCTCTGCCCTTGGAGACCCTCCCAGCACCAGCCCTCTCACCTTGGTGCTGCTGCCCAATGTGCGTGCCCCAATGTCTCCCCAGCTCTCCACTGTCCTGGGGTCGCCTGTACCTCGACGGCCACAGGCAGACTGCAGGCAGGTGAGCAGCAGCTGACAAGGGGACATAACAGGAGGCTTGGAGGTCACGCTTTACAGCTCAAGTGTACACAGTGCCATGGAAGCAGCCCTGTGGGGCAGCAGAGACCCACTCACAGTGCCCAAGAACCCGCTTCTCCATCAGGGGGTCAGGAGGCAAGCACAGCCCAAAAACAGGTCAGTGACCAAAATGGCCCCAGCTTGCTGGGCTCTGCAGGCGCGCTGCACCTTCTCGTCAGCCCAGGAAGGCACAAGCCGCAGTCATGGGCCTCAGGCTGCATGGTGCACAGCAGGCCTTCTCCCTGCACCCCCATGGCTGCTTTGCCAGCATAGACAGAACCCACACATGGGGTGGGCCCGAATCCCAGCCTGACACGATTGGCTGGCTGGCCCGAAAGGACACTCCCCAGACTCCGGTGTGCACTGGCTCCTGGAGGAAGCCCATCGTCTGTGGGAGTTACCCTCGGTCCCTGTGCTATGTGCAGATATGCTGGTCCAAGTCCCCCCAACATGGCACCCAGGGAGAACCCCAGGAGTCTGCACACATCCCCAGAAGGCATGAATCTCAGGAATCCTGTAGTGCAGAGCATCCTCCAGCACCACTCCAGGCCTGGGACAAAGCACCCACCCTGCTCATGTTCACACAGTAGTAGGGATTCAGGGCAGAAAGCACCCAGGCCCTAGGCCTGCAGGGACCCCAGAGCATCTAGAACAGATGCCCTTGGGGCCTGCGGGTGCAGAAGGCAGGCTACGAGGAGGGATGTAAGGACCTTAACAGGTCATCGTAAAGCAGATCAGCCACGGCAACTCCAACTACCCATCCCACAGAGCCCAGCTGGACCCCACCCCCCACACCCCTGCCCTCCTCCACCCTGCCCGCCTCCAGGCGTGGTCTCTGAAGATGGCGGCCAAGCAGCTGAGAGGACACCACTGTTCCTGACCTCGGACAAACAGAAGCACCACTTCACCTTATGTCCTACGCTGCAGACCACGGGGCACAGATGGGGTCAGAGCAGGAGTGGACACACAGGGAGGGACACCAGACACTTCACCCTAGAGGCCAGGCCAGGGCCCCCACAGTGCTCCCTGGGGCTCGTCCCCTGGACATCAACACCGTCTGTGTGCCTAGCGACCCCTGAGTCCCCACCTCATGCACACTCCCCCTGCTGCACCTGCACCCACCCAGAGCTGCCAGCTGGCCTGCAATTCTATCAGGTACAGCCACCTCCTGTCTGACCCAAGGACAGTCTTGCCCTCTGCGGGCTCAGCTGATCCAGACCCCACCCCCACCCCCGACCTCTCTAAGTTCCCAGGTACCCCCTACACGTGGCCCCCAGCACCTGCTGTGTGAAAACCTTCCTGCCGCCCCAACCTCTGGAAGGGAGAAAACCATTCCAGGGACCCTCAACTTCTCTCTGCCAGACCAACAGGCACAGTGTGGCGGGTGGGTGAGGTCAAAGGCAGCAGAGCAGGTGCCTGTGGCCTCCAGCTTCCGAGGACACTCAGGCCTGGGGTCATAAGGGAGCACCCAGACCCTGGCCCCGCTCAGCCTGGGTGTCAGCTGCTATCTGAAGGGAATTAAACAGGGACACGCCATTTGGAAAGAGGTTTTAGTGAGGCTGCTGGGAGCTCCCGCCCCAGGCCTCTGGCACTAGTGAGGAGACACACCGTCCTGCGGGGACCTCGGCAGGGTTAGGGAGCTGTTGGGTCCAGCGAAGAGGCAGTTTAGCTTGGGTTTCAGGTCGTTCCACACTTTGCTCATCTGGAGGAGGAGAGGGAGCACAGCAGGATGAGAAAGGCCGTGAGCTGGCTCCATGCCCAGTGTCAGTTGTCCGTAAACCCACAAGGAGCCCTGACACAGCCCTCTGGAGGCCCTGTGTCACCTCACCCAGCACCACTGGACCAGACTTGATGACAACAGGCCTTCCCCTCCCCTGCATCTCAGAACCTTCCTCCACAGATGATGCTGAAACCAGAGGCAACAACGTGCACCTGCATGCAGACCACCACAGGTCTGCTTGGCACAACATAGGCAGAAACACAGCCATCCGGTGGCGTCCGCCACTCTGACAACTCTGCAAACACTGGCCTTCTGGGGTGACAGCTCACAGAGCAAGACACGCTCCACTTACAGGACACAAATGAATGAAGCGTGTGCGACTCTGCCAGCACTCACACACCCTCCGGTTTCCCAGTTCGGGAGTGGACACCACTGGCGTGGGGAGGAGGGAGCCCAGAGACTAGCAACAGTGGCAGAGTGAATCCTGGGAACGCACAGACAAAGCAGAGTCGAGATCCCATGTGACAAGACCAGGAAGCTAGAGAGTGACTTCCAACAGAGAAACAAGGCCCAGGGTCACAACACCCGACCTGTGTGTCCTGCCTGGGGCTCTCCCGGCCTGGAGCCACCTGGGTCCCAGTCAAAGCACAGGTCCTAAGTCTGAGCCTCCAGGAACTGTGAATGCGTGGGTCTGAGGTGGAAGTCCACTTGCACCATCCCTCTATGCGTTTCTGGCATGGTGTGTTTGTTCTAGACTGCGGCGGAGCTGAGCACAGAGCTCCGGTCACAACTGCTCACCCCCCACCCCGGCTGGACAGACAACCTCCACCCGGCCCCCAAACTGTCATCCACAAGTGTTCACCTGAGCTCCTGCAACATGCTGCACACCAACAGCTCCCCAGCCGGCCAAGCAGAACTGCCAGCACCCCAGGCTGTCCCCTAGTCCACGTGGAACTCTGCACAGGCCTCCATCAGAGCAGGAGAAGCCCATTCCTCTCTGGCTCCCTGACAAGTCAGGACACTCCTCAGTCTGTAGTCCCTGGGGATGGGGATGCTGCGGTCCCAGAAGCTGGCATAGAGTGGGAGTTTGTAGCCCATCATCCTCTGGATCCCAGGCCCCATCTTTCAGAAACGGAAACTTCCCCCAGAGGTTAAAGGACACAGCTGAGGCCATAGCATTCTAACAGATGTGGAGCTGGGGCTGAGAAGGGCTTTAGAAAATCCAGCCTGAGTCCCCAACCATACGGAGGAGCCGGAGGTGGCCACTGGCAGATGCACCCCTCTGAACAGGTGACTGGGCTTCCAGCACTGATGCAAGGCATTAAAGGGACCCAGGGAACACAACACCAGAAAGCAGTGGCCAGCAAAAGCAGAACCACATGGGGACTAATTACGAGTTTCTTCAACCCTGGCCAGATACGCAGTCTTCTAGACTGTCAGGAGAGACACACCTGTCCCGGTTCAAGAAGTGAGGAGTTCAAGATAAGCTAGTGCAACCCGGCCCTGGATCCCTGGGGCCAGCAGGTGTTGGCAGAGCTTGCCGAGCCTCTGGACAAGCACAGTACTCATTCCCGGCAGCTTAGGAGCCGCTGTTCAGAGGATGCTGACCAGGGGTCTTGCACCAACCCATCTCCTCTGACCAAGGCCCCACTACCTCTTCTCTCAATTCTGGGGGACACCGTGCTTTACCCCAGACTCCAAAATACCAACAAGAGAGAAGGAATGCTTCCCTCATGGTCTCACACTACCCCTCACCCCTAGAATCACAAGGACGTCACCACTGCCATTCAGGCTATGCATGAGACAGCAGATCTGAACAGGCCCGATTGAAGGTCCCCCACTCCCCCAGCTCATGACCCTTCCTGGCAATCCTGCAGGAGTTCCAGAGGCTGCCTGCCCAGTCTGGGGCAGGCACGAGGAGACCCACCTCCTTGTGCCCTTGGATCTGAGAGTTGACAAAGGCACCGAGAATGTGGGACGTGAGAGGCAAGTAGACGTGGACCAGCTGCATCTCCTGGTGCAGACAGTACAGGGAGAAGTAGCTCCGGAGCTCCATGGTCTGGATGGCATTCTCCTGCTGCAGAAAAAGGAGCCGCCCCTTGCACCTGGTGCAGTGGACACCACAGACACCACAGCAACACACGGTCTCTCCCCGAGCCCAGGGCCTCAAGCCCTTCCAGACAGCACCGCTGAGGAAAATCCCAAGCCACTTGCTCCAACCAGGGATCCTGAAGGCACTGCTCTGGGCACCACAGACAGTCTGCCCACCCTCCCACTGCTGGCTACATAGGCACAGGGCAGCAACGTTCTGGAAGCTCATGAGCCAGGCCCCAAGTACAGCTCCAGGGTCCAGCTAGGCCATCAGGGCAGAGCCTCCATCAGGCCTGCTCCCAGGCAGCCCAGCCCACCCATGCCCCCTTCCCCCGACGCCAGAACCACCTCCACAATGCGGGACTCCAGCTGCTCCACAGAGTCAGGCTCCCGGCTCTGCACAGCAGCGCTCATCATCTGCCTCTTCATCAGGCTGTACTTGTGTAGGGCACGCTGGTGCTTATGTAGCACGCCCTTCTCATGCCGCTCACAAAGGTCCTGTGCAAAGAGGTGCACTTGTGCTCGGCCACCAGCCAGAAGGGACCCAGAGGCACCCCCCACCCTACCCCGTAGGAGGCAGTGTGGAAATGGAAGCAGTGGGAGGAGGCTGGGAAACACGCATGCTTCAAAGTCAGCACTGTTCACACAGAGCCCCTTCCTCTCTAGAAACCATTCACATGCACACTCAACTCACTCTGCACCTAAGAACTGTTGGGAACAGAGCATTTCAGGTGTCAGGCCCAGGGTCGAACTGTGAGGGGTCGCAGTGCACATCAGCACCACAAACCAATAACCTACATAAAACAGGTCCTGTGCACAAGGGAAGGTGGAAAGCCAGTGTGCTAGGACAGCAGTGGACTTCTGACTTTCCCACTGCCCAGTTTCAGGAAGCCTTTGTCCCTCTAGTCTCTCAGAAATCTTGTGGGAAATACTGGCCACAGAATCAGTGCTGGGATCTCAAGGCTACCGAGCTACCAACCAACTTAACAGACAGACTCCTTCTAGAACATTTCTCAAAGTACTAGGCCCTCTCTCCTTGAGCTCAGCATGAACGATTCTCTGGCTTCACAGACATTCTGGCCCATTACAGATGCCACCACGGCTCAGAAGCCAGCCTTACAGAGAGCTGGAGGTGACCTTCCCAGAATCTCTGCCCATGGAAGACAGACTTCCTCAGCACCAGGCCAGCCCCTCGCATATTTTTAGGGAGCTAGAATATTCTCACACTTGTCACACATACACACATGCCTATATGCACACAGCCACACATAGCACAAACGTGTGTGAACATAAATATACATATGTGCATGCATATATACACGTGCACTTATATACATTCATACACATGCATGCATATATGTACACAGAGCCACACATGTGCACACATACGCACATGTACGTGAACATGAGCACATGTATGCACACATAAATGCTCGTGCATGTGTACATGTGTGTGCATGGACGTGTACACGCATATACACCCATACACATATGTACACACTTGCATGAATATTTGTACATGTACACAGGGTCACATATGTATATACACACCACACATACCCCTACACATATACACACAGATGTGCGCACATTTGCATATGTATACACATACACGAACATGTGTGTATACACGTGTACACAACACACATGTACATGTACATGCATACATGTGCATATGCACATATATAAATGCACATGCACACATCCACATACACACATGCTCATACACATACGTTAATGCATATACACATACCCATACTCGCATATACACCCCAAATATGCATAAACACATGCATATACATATGCACTCACACATATATGCCCACATGTACACACACACATACACATGGGCACACATGTACACCCACACTGATATACAAATATATACATAGGCATACTCATACACTCACACACCCTTCATTCTCAGACCAAGGGAAGCCAGAGGCCTGTCACCACACCTGCCAGGGCCACAGCCCAAAGCACCAGCAGCACCCACCAAGGGGAAATAACACTGGCAAGACAGCCTATGGCCCATCTTCCCCCCACAGCCATAGCTTCACGGCTCTTCTGCTCCTGGAGTCACACCCCTGACAGATTATGCCAAAAGCTCTGTCCTTGGTCAAGGAGCACCAGACTCACTTTATAGGACTGGAGCAGATCCAAGAAGAGGTTTAGTTTCTCCACCACATCATTCTCCTCCTGTTTGCCCTAGAAGACAAGAGTGGGTGACCAACACCAAGCACCATGACACTGACAGACCCAGCCAGGACCACCCATCTGCTGACCTGAGCCAGCTCGCCCCCTCCACAGCTACCAGCCAGCTCTGCAGAAGAGCCCTCTTCCCATACGACAGCCCTCAACACAAGGCATGAAATCAGCAGGACTCAGCAGCTAGACAAAAGCTATGGCCTCAGATCCCAAGGTCATCTGCCCAGGTGTGCTCACCGTTCAACAGCACTGCGCCTTCCAGTGTGCCAAAGCCAGGGTACAGCTGGGGCTAGGCTGGCTACCTGGGAACCCTCCATACTAACTCTGTGCCCACAGCCACATGTCCTAAAGGGCTCAAGCACAGCTCATATCCCTCAGCCACCAACACTTGCCGAGCACCTTGCTCAGGTGTTTGCTGGACACCTCCTAGGCATTCACCAAGTTACTTCTCTCAGATGTTTGGTAAGCACTTCACCTCTCCCAGGTGCAGTGTGAACTCCTCAAGGAAATAAGCCCCTTTTATAACCTCTAGGGCTCCAGCTGTGGCACAGCATGAAAAGCTCATCTCAGATATCACACATTGGACTCAGTGTGTAGACAGTGCAGCCAAAGGCAGAAGATGAGAAGACAAGAGGAGGATGAGTCTGACCAGGTTACAAAGCACTGCCCTGGGAGCCAGGGGCTCCTGCCCAGGCTCTGCCACAAACTCAGGGTATCCAGGACTTACATGTGCCAAGCTCAGAGGTTCCAGGCCACTCAATCCCATACCCACAGCCAAAACTCTAACCAATAAGATCATAGGAAAATAACAAGCATGTTTCACGTCTTTAAAACTCGGAAAGGAAAACATCAGAAGTCCACAGGTGGGGCAGCCCGGGTGGCTCAGCGGTTTAGCGCCACCTTCAGCCCAGGGCGTGATCCTGGAGACCCGGGATCGAGTCCCACATCAGGCTCCCTGCATGGAGCCTGCTCGTCCCTCTGCCTGTGTCTCTACCTCTCTCTCTCTCTGCATGTGTCATAAATAAAATCTTAAAAAAAAAAAAAAGTCCACAGGTGCCCTGCCCTGCTCCCACCTGACTCAGCAGAGGGACACAGGAGGACAAAGGTTCCCCAGTCCAGTAGCAAGAGGGGCCATCCCTGCTCACATCACTGTCTACCAGGTCCCAGTTCTCATCCAATGCCACCCAAGACCCCAAACCACCATCCTGTCAGTGTGGAAAAAACAGCCCACTCAGTCTCCATTGTCCCACTGAGACACAGTAACCTAGGGCCCCTATGGGTCTGGGAAGAATAAAACAAGGGTATGTGAAAACAGAGGAAAACCAACCCTTGGATGTCTTTACTCATGCCGCAAGAGTGAACAAAACCCCAGCTGTGCTGGATGAAAGTCCTAATGGTTGTTTGATCCAGTTTCACATTAAAACTATATTAATTTCACTTCGATGTGAAAACCACGAGAAACAGTCAGGAAGTGGCACTTCCTCACACATCACATTTCAAAGCAGCACCCGTGAGATAGGAGAGAATCTCAGAGCTCTGCGGGGGAGCTTCAAACTCCGAACTTGCGCCACATCAGAAGCCTGAACCCTCTCTCCAGCTTCAAAGGCAGAAACACAGCATCCAAATCTCAGTCGGACAACACTGGAGACGACAGAGTTAGGATTTTCCATCCTGTGTTCTGCGTGACCTACAGGGACTCATGGTACACCCCCACATGTACCCCAACCCTGCTCTCAGGCTACCTCTGTGGGCTCAGGACCTAGGTCCTGGCAACCAGGACAGATTCACTTTTATGTTTTAAAATGAGCTCTGACAGGGACATCTAGGTGGCTCAGTGGTTGAGCATCTGCCTTCGGCTCAGGTCATGGTCCTGGGGTCCTGGGATCAAGTGCCACATCGGGCTCCCTGCATGGAGCCTGCTTCTTTCTCTGCCTATGTCTCTCCCTTTCTCTGTGTGTCTCTCATGAATAAACAAAATCTTAAAAAAAAAAAAAAAAAAGAGTTCTGGATGAAAGTTCAATGGGTTACAAGAAAAGTGTCTGAATGATCTCATCCAGTACTTCTCACAGACAGGGAAACGGGCCCAGGGACCACTGTCACCTGAGCATGGTCCCAGCACACAACACAGGCTGAGCACTGAGCAGGCTGCCTCTCTAGGCTGCCGCACCTCTAATACCACAGTGCCCGTCCTCCCCACAGTGGAGATGTGGGCACCTGGCAGACCTAGGGAGGAACCAGGCCCAACACCACTTCTGAGAAATGCTGACACCCTATGCTTAGTTTCTTTTTTTTTTTTTTTTTAATTATTTTTATTTATTTATGATAGTCACACAGAAAGAGAGAGAGGGGCAGAGACACAGGCAGAGGGAGAAGCAGGCTCCATGCACCGGGAGCCCGACGTGGGATTCGATCCCGGGTCTCCAGGATCGCGCCCTGGGCCAAAGGCAGGCGCTAAACCACTGCGCCACCCAGGGATCCCCTATGCTTAGTTTCTAATGGGAACACACCAGTACCAGGACCACAGAGGAAGAAAACCCAAGACTTTTCATACCAGCAACAAGATCAAATATCCTTTTTGGCACTCAGAAACATCCTGGGCCTCTGAGGGCCCTATTTCCAGCCCAGAAATCCCCCAGTTTCATGACTAGAGGATCTGCCACCATCACAGTGTTCTCTAGCCTACTACTAAGGAGCTTTGAGTATCAGACAGCAAGACCCTTCACAAGTACAGCATTTTAATTTATTTGAAACCATCTACTACCAGCCTACAGACCATTTCCTCAAGAACCAGGCAGCAAACGCTCATCCTCAAAGTCATGTAGCGATTTTATGGCATAAAAAGCACCCAAGTGAGCCTTTCCATCTGCCAGTAAACACTGTACCTTCAAATCAATTGCCAATAACACAGCACCTGCATGTGTGGCAGAGGCATCTTCGTAGGCTACATGGCTATTTAGGCGGAACAGAGATAGGTGCTCTGGGGGTGCTAGAGCGTCTATACTGCCCTGATAAGTTATCAAGGAGCCAAATACTTGCTGAATAGGATGGCAAAATGGGAACTACCTGATCTACCCAGAATCATCCGGGGAAGTCCGAGATTATATTTTCAAGGACAAATTACTGCTTCCAATCCCAGCAACATCAACCTTCAAAGGACCAGAACCCAGTCCATCTTTGTCCTGGGCAACCATCCTCAGAGCATAAAAGGTTCAGGGGAACCAATGGGAACAGAAGGGGACATGCAGTTCCAATCGAGACTGGTGTCCACTCGCTCCAGACTCAAAACCCCAAAGTCCGAGTAAGAAGACATCCTCGCGGCACAGGATGTTCTTTGGAACAAGCAGTGAGGAGGCCAAGTTCACTCACCTGCTGGGCAGCCTTGTCGGCAAGCAGTGCAAATTCAACAGACAGGCCTTTCAGTGCCTGTTTAAGGGACCCCCACGTGCTGCTGTTCAGAGCGGCCCAGGACGGGAGTGGGGTTGTGTCAGACCCCAAAGCACTAAGGGGAAAAAAACAGAGGAGATAAGACACTCAAGGCCTTGGGAGCTGAGCTAGCCGTCCAGCAGGACACATCATCCTGGGCATCTGTTAGAAAGGAACTCAGCCCCCTCCCTAGGCCTCCTGAACTGAGTTTTGGTCAACCAGCTCCCCGGGGGGCATGTGCACACACGTGAGCTTGTGGGGCAGGATTCTGCAGACTATGGATGAGGGTGAGTCCTGACTGGTGGAGGAGGATGAACAGACCGTGCTGTCCTTTTCCAGGTCAAATCAATCCCTTTTCGAGGATTACTGACAGTAAGGAATACACCGTATGACCTATCGGCACACGTTTGTAACGTTTAGGCATCCACACTTCCCTGCCAGAATTCCCTGAGTTTTCTTCTAAATTCCATCACCCATTTCCCCAACCCTCTCCTTTGCCTTCTAACAGTGAAACTGGTCAGAATGGGTGTCATTATGGTAGATGGCCTTCTTTGAGGCCCGAAGATCCCTCCCCACCGACTGAACCCCACAGAACTGGGCAGGGCACCTGCCTCAGCTCCTTCCCAAATACGAGAAGGTCAGCAGCATTGTCAATGGCCCTCGATGCAATCCGCTCGGCTCGATCTCGAAGCTTGTAGAAGCTGTTGTAGATGTTCCGGATGAGCTCCCGGCTGACGGCAAACTGAGTCTGGATGTCAGCCGGGAGGAAGTCCTGGCAGGAAGGACACAAAGGCTGTGGATTACTGGCCCTGAAAGGCCTTTCGGAGAAGATGCCCATCAGGACAGGGAAGGAGCCCACCAACTGAGCAGCTTGTGAGCCCAGACACCAGGCCATGAGGGGGCCTCACTGGGCCTCCCTTCTTATCCAGAAAAGAAACACAAACCAGCATCAGGCATACGCCACAAACACGAAGTTGAGTGACTCCAGGAGAGTGCAATTCTAGTATCCACGGGAAGTGGATCAAATTGGAGGTCCTGCCAGAACACACTCAGATAATAACCATCAAGCTCCAAGGGATGCATGTGAAGTCCTGACCCTCCACATGAGGGCAAGGCCTCTGGTAGGCCTCATTTTGTCCCTAAAAATCATTTGTTACTGGCTTTACTATTAACTACCCGTTAATATTAACTATTTAATATAATATTAGCTAACATTCCTACACAAGGCTTAGAAGACAAGCAGCTTAGGAAATAAAACAAGAGTCCATATTTCTGTACGGAGAAGCAGTCTAAGAAGAGAAAGGAAAAAGCTACCCAGTAGCTACCCTAATTCTTTTTGGAAAAAGAGGAGATTAGCTAAATTTTACCACAAACCAATGCAACAATCCCCCCTGAAGTCCAAGAGGCTAGTGATGGAGCATGAGTCCACATGAATCACAAGAAGCCTCGGGATGTGGCAGGGTAGCTGGTGGGCTCTGTGGCCAGAGTGCATTCGGTCCTGTCCGGGCTGGCTGCTCAGCACCCTGGGACCTTGGCAGATGGCAGCCTCTGTGGGCCTGTCTCCCCATTTGGGAAATGGGCATGATACCCGCTTTGCCTCAGAGCAGCCAAAAGGAGAGTCAATGAGAAAACCGTGCAGCCTTAGTGGGGGCAGAAGAGCAGGAGCTGGTCAGGTGGTCACTGGCTGGACTGGAGGACAGAGAAGTACCTTGGCCCGAGGAGCCAGCTTACAGTTCATGAATTCATCTCCAACACACTGAGTGGATTCCTTTAACTTGTTCTGCACGTCCTACAAAAGGAAAACAGAAACACCAAGCCTCTAGCAGCCGCAGAAAAGTCTGTGAGACCAATGAAGTCAGCAAGAGGCAGAATACAGTTCAAGAGAAACACGTTCCCATATGTGGGCTTACATAAGCATCCCAGAGTATCTCGTCACGGTCTCTTTCCATCAACCTTAAACTTTAGGGTGGTCTTCCACAGACGGGAAAGCCTGACTTAACACCACCAGCACTGCAAAACCTACAGCTCCGGAGAGCAGAGCTCTGTCCAGAAACACAATAACTCCATCTACAGAGCAGGGATGACATCCATGCTTCAGACAACCGACCTGTCAGATCCTTCTAAGTCCCACTACATGGGGCACAGAGACAACAGTGGAAGTCTCTTCCTTCCTGCGGACCGACCCATGGGACCCAGGCCCACAGAGCTCTGGGAGGGCCCAGCCCTGCCCTGCCCTGCCCTGCCCTCGGAAAGCAGGCCTCCCTGGCAAAGCCACATCCAAGACCAGGACCCACAAAGAGCCAGGGGAAATACAAGCAGAGCACCTAACCTGCAGCTCTCTATGGGTCAAGGAATTCTAGAATTTCCAAGATGCCTTGAGGATCATCTGTCCTGATTCTCTCATTTTACCAAAGGAAACAGAGTCAGGGAGGTCCTAGGGACACTCTATCTCTGTGAGGACAAAGGGTCAGAGGAGCCTCACGCCTCCAAGACAGGGACATCGCCTGGCTCTGTGCCCAGCCTGTGTTGTTCCCATGTCCCACCGCATTCCTCTCTGGCAATAAAGATTCCTGCTCTAAAGGAACCTGTCCGTCCAGGGTTCAAAGGCCCACACTCCCAGCTCATGAACAAACGGTCACAGCAAGATTCCACTGATAAAATGGACAGTGGTGACAAATATCCCTGGGCTAGCAGTGGGAAAGCCAGTGGCCTTCTCAGGGAGGTCACAAGCCCATCTGTCTCACCTGGCCTCTGCCTTTGCAGCTCCATGTCTGTGTCCTGAATCTTTCTGCACTGGAAGGGAGGATGGGACTGAGCTCCTCCCAGATCCCTGCTCAGGAGGGGTTCCCTCAGGTAGAAGACGACACATCTTATTCCACCAGCAAAGCACACTTGCTGGAGCCTCTCCCCCACCCCCACCCCTTTTCCTAGGCAAGAAGGCTGCCCTTGGGACAAGGCAGTGACTTCCTCCCCAACTGGGAACAAGGGTTCTGCCTCACTTCCGGATGCTAACACTGCACAACAGCTGACAGATACGGCTTGGTTTTGACGGAAACTAACGTCCAGGTGGCAATGGTCTCCCAGGATCTGGATCAATTCTGCGGCTCTGGTAAAAAGACTCAGCTCAGTCTTCCAATGGCGCTTAATCAAAGATGCCTTATTTGCTTTCTAGGAAACACTCGTGTGGTGATCTGGGGCCTCCAGCACTTCTGTAACCCTCCCAAGTAGAGCCCTCAGTGAACAATCCTCGGTGTCCACTGCAACAGTGCAGAAAGCCTCCCCCGGACCCACAAAATCCTGCCAAGCCAGAGCCAAGGATGCTTTCTGACATCACAGCCCTGTCATCTGGGCAGAAAGTCAGTCTCACTTGTGCTGTCATGTATGCAGGAGACTCCATCAGGCCACCCAAGTGAGGAGAGCAAGATAACAGGCAAATTTAAGAGACCCTCAGGACCCTCCCATGACAGGGAAGTACTCACAGGGCCACTGAAGGACAGGAACAGCCTGAGAGCCACATCCTCAGAGAATGGGGGGTGCCGGGCCACCAGGTTAATGAAGCGCCTCAACGCCCTTCGCCGGGACTCAATGAACTCCCGGTCAGCTGCAGAGGAGAGCACAGGGTCGGCAAACAGGCTATGCAGCCTCCCACCCCAGCCCCCCACAAACATGCTGCAGGGTGGAAATAAGCCAGGAAAACCCCAGCCCGGCCTCCAGCACATCCGTGTTACCTCCCAGCACTGACTGGCCCAGCCCTCCCAGGCACCCTGGGGACAGCCAAGCCCAGCCTCCAGAGCACCCGGTGTTACCTCTCAGCACTAACCAGCCCAGGCCTCCTGGGCACCCCATGTTACCTCCCAGGACTCTCTTGGGCGGAAGGGCTGGCACCATGCGGTATGGGAACCTGTGCAGCAGCATCTCATGGAAAACCACAAAGTCGTTGTACCGTCTGTACACGGAGGATTGGAAGCGCTGCAAAAGAAGGCTCTGCGCTCAGACCGGACACCAGAAACCTCCCCACGCCACCATTTCCCTTCCCTACTCTCCCCTCCACCAAGAAACAGAGCCCTGGGAGCAGTGTAGCTCAGGGCCCCATCCTCCCTCTCTACACTCGACTGAGGAAAGACCCTGTCCTTCCCAGTGGCACTCACACAGCTTCCCAACACTGCATAGCGCTTACATCCTGTCCCGCCCCCGTTACTGGGGCTCTCACAGGAGTCCACACCTACATGGGTGAACCTGTCCCCCCATTACAAGGTAGTGCATGGGAATGATGCCTTCTTCACTTCGTTCCCAGGGGCACCTTCCCGTACATGGTCACATAGTGCCAGAGCCATGAGCACGACTGCCTCCTGGGAGAGAACTAACCATCGAGACAGAACAGACACTGCTCAGGAATGCTGGACAATCAGACATCGGACTCAAATCCCACTGTATGCCTCATAATGAACAGCCCCGCAGGCTCTACGAGAGCCATGCCCCACACGGAGGAACGTAACCTGGCTCTCCTGTATGAGTTCACACGATACATGTGCAAGAGCAACGAAATTAAATATGCTGTACTGCTTGTAAAGAACACTGCTTGGTGAAAGAAGCCAGTCTGATCCCAAGAACTGGGCGCCCTGGGAAAGGCAGAGCTGTGGACACAGGAGAAGAGGGGTGGCTGCCAGGGGCTCGGGGCAGAGGGATGAACTGGTGGGGACACAGGAGACTTTCAGGGCAGGGAACACTCTGTGTGACACTGTAGCGGTAGATGCTGGTCATCACACATTTGTCCAGGCCCCAGAGAGACCCTCGCATGAACCATGGACCCTGGGCGATGACGACATGTCTGCCTGGGGTCATCAACTGTGACAAATGGGACAGTGGTCATGGGCAGCCCATTGGGAGGAGCACGGGTTTATGGGAAATCTCGGCTCTCTCCCTCAATTGTGCTGTGAACCTAAAACTTCCCCCAAAATATTACATCTATAAAATAAATATGTTATACAAAGAAAACCATGAAGCCAGGCATGTCCCTCTGCTGTGGAACCTCTGGTGAGCTGGGTCCAGGATAGAACGAGTGGCCCAGGCTGCGGCCCAGGCTTAAGCACCAGCAGGTGGGGCCCTTCACACCTTGGGCAGAGCGGCCTCCCTGAAAAATGTCCATTATGGGACAAAAAACACCATGAAACAAAAATTCTGTGATTCCTGATTCCCACAGCACAACCACACAGCCACTTGGTTTGGAAAACGTGCTTCCTCCCCAGGGTGACAGAGTCTTCCCACCAAAGCCACCACAGAAGCACACTTTCACTGCAGCAGGGCCCCACACCACCTGTCCTTGCATCCCCCACTAACACAGGATTCCACTAGCCCAAGAATGCCATCAGCTCACCAATGACTTAATTCTCAGTTTCTGAATAAAAATTCCCCCCAGCATCTATTCTAACAGAACCAAGAGAGAGAAAGAAAATGGAGGAAGGGACAGAAGATAACCACTGCTGATGCCACCCCGTCTCCACACAGACACACAGCCTGGTGCCCAACACCTCCTTAGCTCGGGTATGGGGGCCCCTAACAATGCAGGCAGCAACCTTAGCAAAGATGAAATGGACACACACCAATCCTGCCCTCTAAACTTGACCCAAAGACCATACTGTACCCTCAGGGATTTCCCACAACTGCAAAACCACTGCCAGCCTGGCCTTTGCCGTGGTATGTGCCCCACAGACTGAACAAGCTCTTCTGAGAAGCATCCCAGACACAGGGATAGGGAGGGCAGGCTGAGCTAGCTGGGAGTGTGGCTGAGCCAGAGCAAGACATGGGGACACGCAGGCTGTGGAAACATCTGTTGGGCGGCTTGGCTCCCAACGTCTAGTTTTGGGTCTTACCTTTAGGGCCAGCCCACAGACTCTCTCTGTGGCCCTTTGCTGACACACACCACTCCCGCCCCAACATGTCCCTGTCCCACCCCCACCCTGCCTCATCTCTCCAACACGCACACACCATTTGCTTCTTACCTGGCTGGAAACCTCATATTCCACATGCTTCAGGAAGAGGCCCTTCTTCTCAGGAATGAGCTCCACCTGCACGGTGTCCCTGGCCAGCAGCTCCTGCAGGGTATATGACAACAGCAGCGGGTTCCCCTGAGGCATCTGCATTCGATTGGGGTATGGGTCCCTCCGCTCGCTGATCTGGGGCGTTGGCAAGCCTAAAGAAGAGAAGGCGAATGGCCAATAAAAACAGCTACTCAGAAAGTGGAGACTGCCGCCAGCCAGCCCTCCCTCCACGGGGTGCTCACTCAGCAGTCAGACTGTGGCCACGTCACCCCCACCCCAATCCATTCATGCTGCGGAGCTGGTGCTCAGGGGCACTTTCTGCTAACTAATCACCATGCTGTGAGGTGTCCACCCACCTGTGAATCAGCAAAGACACCTACAGATCCAAAACCAGTCAGATCTAGTTTTCAATTTGGGGCAGAAAAAAAATGATTTACAAGTTTCATGTAAAAGACCCTCCTTTCCTCTAGAGTCAAAAAGGAGGTTAAAACTAAAGAGTCATATAATTTCTCTGCCCACTGTTTCTACAGTGAACACACATGACTTCGTGTGCCAAAACAATCATTCCAGTTCCATGTAGGTAAAAAACCCACTTGCTGGGACGCCTGGGTGGCTCAGCAATTGAGCATCTGCCTTCGGCTCAGGGCATGATCCCAGGGTCCTGGGATTGAGTCCCACATCCGGCTCCTTGCAGGAAGCCTGCTTCTCCTTCCACCTAGGTCTCTGCCTCTCTCTCTCTCTCTCTCTCTCTCTCTCTCTCTCTCTCTGTCATAAATAAATAAATAAATAAATAAATAGATAGATAGATAGATAGATAGATAGATTGCTTAGAGCTAGGATTCCCAACCACACAAGTCAGAGAATGACACCCTCAAACCTCAGCTTCCCCTGAAACAAGGAGTTACCCACGCCTCACTCAGAGCAGCAGGAGACGGAGCAGAGAGATCATAGGCTAACAAACACGGAAGCCACGTTAAAAAGTCAGTTTGGTTCTTACTACAGAGAGTTCTAAAGAAATAGGTTCTTTTTGGTTAGAAAACACAGTAAAGGGGCAGCCCCGGTGGCACAGTGGTTTAGTGCTGCCTGCAGCCCAGGGCGTGATCCTGGGGACCTGGGATCAAGTCCCACATCAGGCTCCTTGCGTGGAGCCTGCTTCTCCCTCTGCCTGTGTCTCCGCCTCTCTCTCTCTGTGTGTCTCTCATGAATAAATAAATAAAATCTTTAAAAAAAAAACACACAGTAAAGTTAAGGTATCCCACAGAGGGGTGGGGGGTCTCACACTAATCAACACTGCTATAAATAACCACAACAAAATGTAGACTTCTCTTTTTTCCAAAATTTCTATGTCATTTTTCATGATTTACCTCTTAAAACAACACTTCAGAGTTAAGATTCTGGTTTACATTCTGAACAGAATTCATGACTAGATTGTTTTCATCTGTGAAATTACTCAGCATTTCAGAATTTAAAATGCAGTTGCCTTTAATTGACCTTAAAGCTTAAGAAACAAAACAAACTAAGGCTTTAATACTTACTTGGGAACTCCAAGGGCCTCATAAAAACTCCACACAAAAACTAAATATTATGTGCTCTAAAGCAGTAAGACACTGCCAAGTAAAAGGGCACATATCCCAGGGTCAATGCAATCCAGGTAGGCGCAGGAAAAAAAGAGAAGCAATTCTAGCCGTATTTTCATCTCTCCTTTCAAAATTTATATTCCTGTGATATCTTTATAATATACATAATGTAGTAGTATAGTGCATGCATGTAACCTTCAAAATGTGTATGTGTATAGATGTACGTGAATACATGTGCGTGTGTACACGACTATGATGTACATGTGTATATGTGTGCAAGTGTATATATACAAGAGTATGTAAATGTGTACATAAGGGGTGTGCACACGTGTGTAAATGTATGCGCATGTGTGTCTGTGTATATGTGTATGTGGTTATATAGGGTGTGTGTGTGTGTGTGTATATATATCATGGTATGTGCAAGTGTCTATATACAAGTGTGTGAGCATATATGTAGGTAAGTGTGTCCATGTGTGTACACAAGTGTGTACATGAGAGGTGTACATGTGTAAGTATATTGCAAGTGTGAGTATGCAAATGTGTGTATGAGTGTATATGTACATGGGTGTGTACATGTGCATGTACGTGTGTGTATATGTGTATATAGGAGTGTGTGTTTAAGTGTGCAAGTGTGTCTGTGTCTATAAACATGTGAGTATTGTGTATGAGTATATAGGTCATGGGTGTGTACACATATGAGTGTGTATACCTATGGGTACATGAGGGGTGAGTATTAAAGAGTCCCTAATATCTTAATGGCCAAAATGTGGAGACAACAGCTCCAGAAGGTTCTCCCATCCTAAGAACTCAGTCCCTTCCCATTTAAAAATATTTTGATGGCCTAAACTGTGTTTACTCAGTCTCTTCAGGGAGCACATGGACTCTCAGTCAATGAGCCAACAAGTGTTTCTTAAGTACCCACTCGAGTACAGTAATGAACAACGCGGGGTCACTACGCTCATTAATAGGCATTCAGCACGCAGCTACAGACTGTCCCCACAGCTAGGCACAATCCAAGAGGATCCAAACTCCAGGGCAAATGGGAATCCCACTGTTACATATCTTAACAGCACCCTGATAATGAGAGAGGGGGCCAGACACAGCACCCAAACACAAACTCTGCGGGCGGGGACACACCCAGCTCTATTCTCGGGACACATCCCAGCTGCTGGGGTGCCTGGCATGTAGAAGGGCCTTAAAGAAACCTTGCCAAATGACTATTTGCTGATATTTATTCCATTTTCAGGAGTGAAAAGTAGCATGTCTGAGAAAACAAAGTCTTATGTAACTAGAGCACAGAATATGTGGAAAACAGCAAATAATGAAGCCAAAAAGGTAATGGGGAAAGAACATTTTTATCAAAGAAAAGATCTGCAAATACATATATCTGAAAAGGGACGTGTACCTAGAATAAAGAACCCCTACAACACATTAAAAATAACAGAGACAGACAAAAAAACCCAATTTAAAAATGGGCAAAGGATTTGCATAGACATTCCTCCAAAGATATATCAGTGGCCAGTAGCACATAAAAAGATGCTCAACATCACTGAACGTCATGGAAATGCAAATCACAGCCATAACAAGATACCACCCACTACAATAGCTCTAATTAAAAAAAAAAAAACAAAACACGAACATTAGCCAGGATGTGGAAAAGCCCAGCACTTCCTCAGAATGTCAGTAGCAGAGCCACTATGTGACCCCGCAGTTCCACTCCTAGAAATATATCTGAGATATCTGAGATGAACATGTATGTTCAGAGTCCTATAGACAAATGTCCACAGCAGCATTATTCATAGGAGCCAAAGAGCAGAAAAATCCAAGCATCCATCAACTATCAAAGAGTAAATAAAAGTGGCTTATCTTGGGGCACCTGGGTGGCTCAGTGGCTAAGCATCTGCCTTCAGCTCAGGGTGTGATCCCAGATCCCAGGGTCCTGCGATTGAGTCCCCCATCAAGCTTTCCTCAGAGAGCCTGCTTCTCCCTCTGCCTGTGTCTCTGTCCCTCTCTGTCTCTCATGAATAAATCAATAAAAGCTTTTTTTTTAATGGCTTATCTGTAAAAATGGACTACTATTCTTCCATAAAAAGGAATGAAGGACAGATTCATGCTACAAGATGGTAAGTCAAAGAAGCCAGACACAAGGACCATGTTAGGGATGAGTCTGTGCACAAGAAATCCCCAGAAGAGGCAAATATACAGAAACAAAGCAGACTGGTCCCTGCTGAGGGCTGAAGCAGGAGGAGCCAACGACAAGAGAACTGGCGTGAGGATTGGAAGAGAAGGGGTTTCTCAGGAGGGTGATCATGGCAAGGGGTGCACATGGCAAGGGGTGAACACACCAGCATCACTGTGTTGTACACCTGACGTGACTGAAGCTTATAGTACACAAATGAGAACTATGAACACCTTACATATAAAAGGTGGGGGACACAAGTAAATGGCAAGAATAAGAACCTCCAAAAACCCTTTCTTTGACAGAAGCAAAAATGGTCAGAACCCACTTTTTCAGAACAGGAAATTGAAGGTGTATGACAAGCCAGCGTACTTTTATTGATGCAAAAACTGTTAAAACAAGGGCATCCTAAAAAAAAAAAAAAAAAAAAAAGGCCATCCTGGGTAGGCCCTCAATCCAGTACAACTGGAGTCCTCCTAAGGAGCAGGAGGACCACACCAAGACCCAGAGACATATGGCACACAGGGTGGGTACATATCAGTGGAGTCAGAGATGGAAGCCACACAGCTGCAAGTCAAGGAACCCAGAGGGTGACCTGTCACAGCCAGATGCTGGAAAGGGCAGGAAGGACCCTACCCTACAGGGTTTGGAGGGAGTGTGGCCCTGCCCACATCTGGATTTCAGACTTCTGACCTCCAGGGCTGTGAGACATTCCCGCTGTTTCAAGCCATCCAATTTGTGTAACAAATTACAAATTACAGGGATCCCTGGGTGGCGCAGCGGTTTGGCGCCTGCCTTTGGCCCAGGGTGCGATCCTGGAGACCTGGGATTGAATCCCACATCGGGCTTCCGGTGCATGGAGCCTGCTTCTCCCTCTGCCTGTGTCTCTGCCTCTCTCTCTCTGTGACTATCATAAATAAATAAAAATTAAAAAAAAAAAAAAAACAAATTACAAATTACAGCAGCCACACGACACACAAGAAACTTGACAAAATTCAGAGAGATCGTTAAAGTCAATGATAAGCAGCAACACCTTGGGAGGGAGGAAAATCTGATTTCTAGAGTTGCCACTCTGGTTTATATCATTTAAACTATCCAGTTTACAACTAAAGTTTATACGACATGCAAAGAAACAAGAAAGTTGGCCAAACATGGAAAAACCACCACCAGAAACTGTCCTCAAGGAAGGCCAGGCATTGAACTCATTTGACAAAGACCTTACATCAGCTATCTGAAATAGGTTCCAAGGGCATCTGGGTGGCTCAGGCAACGAAGCGTTTGCCTTCAAATCAGGTCAAGATTGCAGGGTCCTGGGATAGAGCCCCACGTCGGGCTCCCTGCTCAGCAAGGAGCATGCCTCTCCCTCTGTCCCTCCATCTCCACTCACGCTTTCTCT